TGGGACTGCGGGGCTTGGGGAACCTGGAGAGAAGCCCTCCAGCAACACATTTGTTTCAGACAGAACTGACAGATTCAGGAATTCTCTCTCTCTTGTCCAGATGGGAGCTCCCTTGTCCAAATGGGAACTCCGGGGCAGGATGGAAGCTCTTATCTGGATGGGAAACTGGGGCAGGATGGGAGCTTTTGTCCAGACAGGAATTCAGTAGTAGGATGGGCGCTCTTATCCTGAAGGGAAGTCCAGGGCAGGATGTGTGCTCTTGTCCAGAAGGGAAGTCCAGGTCAGGATGTGAGGTCTGGACCAGAAGGGAAGTCCCGGGCAGGATGGGAGCCCTCTCTGGTCCAGAAGGGAAGTAGGGGGCAGGATGGGAGCTGGGGACCAGTCTCTAAGTCTCAGGAAGTGGCTGGGGTCTCAGGCGGATGGGCGTTGGGGCAGGGCATGGAGTTTGCAGGGGCTGCCGGGGGCTTGGAGAAGGGGATCCTTCCCAGTGGGGCTAGAAGGGGACGTGCCCGGTGGCCAGAACCTGGGGCCAAGTTGGGCATGTGTTCCCAGGGGTGGCTGGAGCCCATGGATGGAATCCAGGATGGGCCTGGGTACTCACCTCTGGTCCAGAAGGGAAGTCGGGGGGCAGGATGGGAGCTGGGGGCCAGTCTCTAAGTCTCAGGAATTGGCTGGGGTCTTGGGCGGATGGGCGTTGGGGCAGGGCGTGGAGATTGCAGGTCTGCCGGGGGCTTGGAGAAGGGGATCCTTCCAGGTGGGGCTAGAAGGGGACCTGCCCAGTAACCAGAACCTGGGGCCAAGTTGGGCAGGTGTTTCCAGAAGTGGCTGGTGCCCAGGGATGGGATCCGGGATGGGCCCAATTACTCACCTCTAAGACTTGAAGTTTTTAATCATACAAAATTTTTACTTGCTTGGTTAGAGTTACCTCAAGATTTTTATTTGAGGCTATTGTTAAAGGTGTTTTTCTCCTGATTTCCTTCTCATTTCATTTGTCATTTGCTTATAGGAGAGTAACTTTTATTTATTTATTTATTTATTTATTTACTTATTTACTTACTTATTTATGTACTTTTAGTTAAGATTGCATCCAGACATTTTGCTGAAAATGTTTATCAGCTATGGAAGTTCCCTGGTGGAATTTTTAAGGTTACTTATGTATACAATCATATCATCTGTAAATAATGGTAGTTTGATTTCTACCTTTACAACTTATATCCACTTAATCTCTTTCAGTTGCTGTATTGCTCTAGCTAAAAGTTCACGTACTATATGAAATAGATATAAAGAGAGTGAGAAACCTTATCTTGGGGCTTATTTTGGTGGAATTGCCTTGAGTTTCTCTCATTTAATGTGCTGTTGGCTATGTGCTTGCTCTAAATTGCCATTATTATGTTTAGATATGTACCTTGTATCCCTGATCTTGCCAGGAGTTTTATCATGAAGCAGTGTTGGATTTTGTTAGAATCATGTTCTGCATCTAATGAGATGGTCATATCTTCTTACCTCGTTTATACGGTAGATTATATTTACTTATTTTTATATATTGAACCATACATGCATCTCTGGGATGAAGCCTATTTATTGTGGATGAACTTTTTAATGTGTTTTTGGATTCATCATTCTAGAATATTATTGAATATTTTTTGCATCTATTCATAAAGGAAATTGTTCTATAATTTTATTTTTTTTTCGGTTATTCTTTATGTGATTTGGGTATCAGGATAACAGTGGCTCCATAAGATGACTTTAGTATTGTCCCTTCTGCTTCTCTGTTGTAGAATGATTTGAACAGTATTGATGATAAGCCTTCTTTGAGAGGCTAGCAGAATTCTGTGCTAAAAGCATCTGGCCCTTACCCTTTTTGGTTTGGGAGACATTTAAAATTTCTTCTATTTCACTAGGAGTGACTGGTCTATTCAAATTACTTATCTGATCTTGATTTACCTTTTGTAAGTGGTACCTAGCTAGAAAAAAAAAATCCATTTGTGTTAGATTTCCAATTAGGTAGCATGTATTTCTATTTTATTTATTTATTTTACGTCCTTACTGCTGGTTCCCTTCCCTCCACTTTTCTCATTCCTTCCCCACCTCCCTTCCACTCCCATCATTTATTTTATTTAAAATTTGTTCTTATTATACTCTGAATTTCCTCAGTTCCTGTTGTTATGCCCCTTTTTGTTTCAGATTTTGATAATTTGGATATTCTTTCTATGTGTTTTAGTTAGTTTGAATAAGCCTTTGTCTATCTTGTTGACTCTCAAAGAAGTAACTCTTTATTTCATTGATTCTTTGTATTTTCTGTTTCTAATCTATTGAGTCCTGATTGATTCTTTTTTGCCATATATTCTTCTTTTTTTTAAAATTTATTTTACAACACCATTCAGTTCAACATAATAGCCACAGATTCCCCTGTTCTCCCCCTCTTGTCCCCCTCCCCCTCCCCCTCCCCCCAGCCTACCCCCCATTCCCACCTTCTCCAGATCAAGGTCTCCCCCGAGGACCGGGGCGACCTGGTAGACTCAGTCCAGGCAGGTCCAGTTCCCCCCTCCCAGACCGAGCCAAGCGTCCCTGCATAAGTCCCAGGATTCAAACAGCCAACTCATGCAATGAGCCCAGGACCCGGCACCAACGCACAGCTGCCTCCCAAACAGATCAAGCCAAATGACTGTCTCACGCATTCAGGGGGCCTGATCCAGTTGGGGGCCCCTCAGCCTTTGGTTCATAGATCCTGTGCTTCCATTCACTAGAAAAAATCATCCTGAGTGAGGTAACCCAGACTCAGAAAGACAAATATGGTATGTACTCACTCATAGGAAGATGCTAGATGTGGAACAAGGATGACTGGACTGCTACTCACATCACCAGTGAGGCTACCTGAAAAACGGGACTCCAAAAAAGACACGGAGAAATGGATGAGATCTACATGAACGGCCTGGTCATGAGTGGGAACAATGAGGAGCAACGGTCGAGGGAAAGAGAGTGGGAGATCCTAGCTGGATCAAGAAAAGAGAGGGAGAACAAGGAATAGGAGACCATGGTAAATGAAGACCACATGAGAAGGGGAGGAAGCAGAGAGCCATATATTCTTCTTAAATGTTAATATTTTTTGTTCTTCATGTAGGCACTTAGTGCTCTGAACTTTCTTCTTAGAACTGCTTTCATTGTGTTCCATTCATTTGGGTAAGCTGTGTATTAATTTTCATTGACTGCTGGAAAGTCTTTAATTTATTTCTTATTTTTGTCTTTTCATTTAGCAAAGAATTGTTCAGATCCCATGAGTTTGTAAGCTTTCAGTTGTTTCTGTTGTCATTGAGCATTCATCCATTGTGATCTGATAGGACACGGGGTTATTTCCGTTTTCTTGCATGTGTCAAATCTTTTGTGTCCAAATATGTGGTCAATTTTGTATAACATTCCATGAAGTGCAGAGTATAATATATATTCTTTTGTGCTTGGCTGAAATGTTACATATGTATCTGTTAGATTCATTTGGTTTTTAACATCTGTTAGCTCCAGTATTTCCTTATTTACATTTTGTCTGGATGACCAGTATGTTGGTGAGAGTTGGTTATTGAAGTCTCCCACTGTCAGTGGGTAAGGGTCAATATGTGGTTTAAGCTGTAATAATGTTTCTTTTACAAATTTGTGTGACTTTGTGCTTGGAGCACAGATGATAAGAACTGAAATTACTTCTTGGTGGATTTTTCCTTTGATGAGTATGTAGTGTCTTTTACTAACTCTTTTGATTAGTTTTGGTTTGAAGTCTATTTTCTTAGGTATTAAAATGTCTATAGCAACTTGTTTCTTAGATCCATTGGTTCTTGGAATATCTTTTTCTACTCCTTCACCCTGAGGTAGTGTCTACCATTGATGCTGGTGTATGCTTTTGGATGCAGGAAAAGGATGGATCCTGTTTTTGCAGCCATTTTGTTAGACTATGTCTTTTCGCAGAGAATTGAGACCATTGATATTGAGACATATCAATGACCAATGGTGATTGTGTTGTTGTTGGTGGTGGTTGTAGTGATGATGATGTGTGTGTGCTCTTTTCTTCTTTTGATTTTGTGGGTATGAGATTATTTTCTATGTTTTCATGTGTGTAATTAACCTCCTTAGGTTGAAGTTTTTCTTCTAGCACATTTTATAGAAGTGAATTTGTAGATAAATATTATTTAAATTTGAGGTTACAGTGGAATATCTTATTTTGTTCATCTTTTGATATTAGAAGTTTTCCTCAGTATAGAAACCTGGACTGGCATCTGTGGTCTCTTAGGTTCTGCAGCACATCTATCCAGGCCCTTCTAGCTTTTAAGAGTCCCTATTGAGAAGTCAGGTGTAACTCTAATAGGTCAGCCTTTATATGTTATTTGATCTTTTTCTCTTGCTACTTTTTATATTTTTCTTTATTCTATATGCTTAGTGTTTTAGTTACTATGTGTCCAGGGAACTTTATTTTGTTGGTTCAATCTATGTGGTGTTTATGCTTCTTGTATTTTTATAGTCATCAGCTTCTTTAGGTTAGGAAACTTTTCTTCTATATTTTTTGGAAATATTTTCTGAGCCTTTGATCCAGATTTCTTATCCTTCTTCTATATCTACTGATCTTTGGTTTAGTATTTTCATAGTGTTCCATATTTCCTGGATATGATTTTTAGCTTTAACATTTTGACTGATGTATCCTTTTCTTCTCTTATATTTTGGATACCTGAGATTCTCTCATCTTTGTCTTGTATTCTGTGGGTGAAGTTTACCTTTGTAGTTTCTGCTCAAGTTATTAAAATTTTCATTTTCAGAATTTCCTTACTTTTTTTTTCTTTATTAATTCTATTTCAAATTTCAGGTCTTGAACAGTTTTATTTATTTCCTTACACTGTGTTTTGCTTGATTTCTTTAAGAGATTTATTAATTTCCTCTTGAAGGACCTCTATCATATTCGTAAAGACTGCTTTTTTTTTTTTGTGGTTCAGGTATTTTGGAATTTTCAAGGCCTGCTGTGGTAAGATAGCTGGGTTCTAATGCACACATATTTACCTTGCTGTTGTTGTGTTTTTATGCTGGTACCTCCACAGCTGGGTTTGGGATAATTAAAGGTTCAGGTGCTGGTTTCTGGATTTGTCTTTGTTGAATGAGCGTTTTGTTCCTTGGTTTCTTTTTCTTCTCTGGACTTAGAGAGAGTGTGATGGATGTCTATTGCCTGTTTTGTGTCCTGTTCAGCTGGTATTTTCACAGCTAATGCCTGTTAGTGTTGGAGGCTGGGTAATTTGGATGAGTTGTGAGAAGGAAGGTTGGAGGTAGATCTTTGAAGCCAATGGGGTTGAGGTCAGAGAAGAAATGAAGACCACAGCAGATTTCCAGCTACATTCAAAAATATGAAGTAGGAATTCAGCTGTCATTGGTAAAGTTAAATATCTGGAAGAGCAAAGGGTTCTTCCAGAGGAAAGCCAAGACTCAAGGAGTCTTGATGATATTTGCTCTTGAGCATATTAGCTATTTCCTACAGTGAATTCCTTGTGTGCTATTGTAGCTTTCCCATTTGATTCTTTTCCCAAGGACTTCTATCAGTGTGGTTGATCATTTACTGGGCACACGGTCCCCTATACAACTGGGGCATTTGGATTACATTCCCCGCTGTGTTTGATAACAGTCACAGTCAAGACCCCTTTCCCAAAATCAAGCGTTGGTTCCTCTTTCTAGCAGACTTAGGGTCTGCCTTTCTGTAATTATCTTAACTAGCAAACGTCTGGCCAGAGCCATCTCCCGACAAAAGTATTTCATCTGAGATACTTCTCAATCATCCAGGACAGACTGCAGATAGATAAGCATTTAGACTGCAGCTAGGTAAGCATTAGCTCATCTCACCTACAGAAAAGAGAAGATAACCTCACTAACCTTAAGTCCTTAATTCCTGCTTGCTTTTACCAGGTTGGTATTCAGCCATCTGCTAGTTTCTGACAGAAGATAAATATTTCTGCTGAAACTATGAGACAGCTGCTAAGGCCAGGCAGATGATAGGTATAAAGCTTTGTTTCTTGTGAAAATTAAGCTTATATCCTCCCCTTTCTCCCATACTCCAAGTGTTATCCTTAGTTCTAAAGATCTCCCTTTAGCTATTAACTCAGAGGAAAGTGCCTTTATGAACCAAATGCTACACATTGTGATGCAGGTTGCCTGGCAACCAAGTAAACTTCCCTGCCCTACCAGAAAGCAGTGCAATGGAGATAAGCTGAGACAGAAATGGCGCCAAAGGAAAAAAAAAGACAATTTTACTTTACTAGTTAGTGACTTATACTGACATATAGACTCCCAACATTTTACCTAGCCACTTCTAAGAATATAGTCTGAGCACTTAAATCTCTTTTAGATCTCTTAACTGATTTTAGCCCTTAGTTGACCTTCATTAGTCACTACCCTTTTGGATTATAAATGAAAGCTGACAATCACTGCCTTGTGTGGATATTGTCTTCTCTCTTCATGACCCTGAAAGACTTACATTGCATTGTCAAAGAATAACTGCTTGCAAGTGTGTATAAACCAGTACCCCCACAGCACTGGTAAAATTGACATAGAACAATAAAGTATGGACTAAAGAGCCTTTGTGTGCTTACATTCTTTTGATATCCCTCAGATTACTTCTTAGCCACTGGTAGCATCCTTTTTGGACTCTGGAAGAACTCTCCAGGGCACATACCTGGGGAGAATTTGATACAGAGCTGCATATGAAACCGGGAAATTTAATCTCAGTAGGAGACATATGAGTCTGCCTTCAACCTGGGAGAAGCAGCCCTTGGGTTAGCAAGAGGTGCCTGCTGGAGTTGGTTCTGGGATTCAGGGAGAAGTGGGGGGGAGAGGTGTGAAGATGTGATGGTCTGTGGTGTCCACAGGGGATGTAGGCTGGAGGATGGGGAGGCTGAAGCTGGTGTTCTGTTGCAGCTCCAGAGATGAGACTACAGGATTGGGTATGGGGAAACAGAGAGACATGAGAATGTCTCCGGGCAGCCTACATGGTTTTCTGGCAGGTTTGGCCTGTGTGTTAGCAGGGTGTGCCTGCTGGAGTTGGGAGCGGTGATTCTGCAGTAAGTGGGGCAAAGGAGGTTAGGAGCACATGGTCTGGAGGATATGCATAGTTGCTGTTCCCACTTCTTCCTGGGATGAAGTCATCTACCTACCAGATGGTAGTCAGCCAGCTACCCTCTGGATAGGGGGCAAAACAAGTGAGCAGAGTCCATCAGCTTGTAAGTCCCTGGAGATAGCTCTGCTGGGAGAAGGTTAAGTGTCAAAACTCCACTTTATTCCAGGAAGAAAAGGGAATACAGAGGCCAGGGACAGTGGCCGGGGTATCACCTAATTTGCATTAAGAGACATACTTCTATCCTAAGGCTTCTAGTATGTACAGCAAAGAAGGCTTCTAGCAGGAATCTGTGCCAGGGTTCAAGCTAAAAATACATCCAGCATCTGGTTTAAAGACAGCTTTCAGATAAAGACAGTCCTCCAGGACCAGGGACATTCTCCAGACAAGGGCAGGTAGAGGCAGGAAGTTCTGCTCAGGAGGGAGTTTTCATATTGCTAAGCTAGTGAGATAAGCTGCCAGGCCATGAGAGACTGTAGCCTTAACCAGGCTGCAAAAACCCTTCCAACATATAGATGTAGGAAGGTGGATGTAAGGCTCCAGCTATTGTTCCAGAAAAAAGTTATTGAGGAGACTGAGAGATTGGGTGTTGAGGAACAGAGGGCACTTTTATTCTTTCTATTACCTATAGTTTACAATTTATCAAGAGAAGGTCCTAAAATTAAGCCTAATTTAATTTAGTTTAGTTAGAGTCACAGAAGAATTAAGCTCACCAAAATGAGATTTAATAAACAGGTGTTTTCATGTGTAGTAACCTTCCTGTGTTGGTAATACTAGGTACTTCCAAACCCATGGTTTCAACTCCTACAAGTTATTGTGGAATTTTAAATTCAAAGCTTATAACCATGACCCCAGAAGCTCAAACATGTTTTTTTCAAGATTCATAGACATATCTATTTCCTCAAAATTCTGCATATTTACCACTATGCTCCATTTATAGATGCATATTTTATTTCTTCATTTAAATCATCTACAAGCTTAACATAAATCAAAAATGGATCCATAGGAATGAAATGACTAGTCAAAAATTTACAAGTTATGAATTTGTTCAAAACTTGCAGTTTTGTAGTGCCACAAGTCGTATGTCATACACTTGGCCCTGAACTGAGTGTCCCCATACAGATGAGAACTCATGCATCTACAGTCATTTCTCAATGGCAAAGCAACACAGGAAACAGTAATGGAATGGAAAATAGAAGTAAATATTGGCAATAGTTCATTTCATTAGAAAAGGAGAAAGAGGCTTTTTATAAGGTCTTGTCCAAAATTCTCAAATTAGAGAACCAATACTTTTTTTTATCCCCCTAAAAAGTTTATAAAGATAGTAGAGAGAAGACAGGATATCATTTCCTGCTACATTTCTCTGGGAGCAAATGGCAGAATTATCTTATGCAAATATGAGAGAAGCACAATGCTCTGTGCACTGCTGCTCATGTGTACATGCTGAATACTTTTTCTTTGTTTTTTAATGAAAACCTTTATGATTTCTTTTCATGGGCAAATCTTCTAAAATCCTCTTATGCATATGAGTATTAATGTGTTTCACTGCAGTTACAGTTTATTGAATTTTGCTTAAGGAATACTTAACAACCTTGAGCCATTTCATTCCTGTAATTCTTTTAAAAGTATAAAATGCTTAATTTTATGTTTATGTCTGCAATAACCATAAAGTTTATTTGGGGTATGAGTACAAACCTAATTTAATTTTACTTTCTCATATGTATAACTGCACCTGCCATGCTCAGCCTCTCTGATTCTTCATTTCTTCATTGTATTCTACTTAAAGTTCCCTCCACTTGTATCAGGAGAAACTCAGCTCATATTAATACAATCATGGCAAACTCAATATTTATCAGTCTAAATCTATGTAAGATCAGTTGTGCCCACTTCATCTCCCATTTTCCTGTCTATATCCACAAAAAAAAAAAAATAGAACACAGAGGTATTTCTACAGTAAGTGAGAGCCACAGACTAGTAGGGCATCTTGTCCTTGAAGGATAACATTAAACAGAGACTATTCCTATATTCATAACCTGTCAACTTAGAGACTGTAGCATGAATAAGGAAAAAAATGGTGAGCTATTAACTCGTCAAATATGATTTTAGGACTTTGTGGCTGTGTTTCCTTACTTTATAATACAGTAATTAGAATATTGAGGTAGTATACTCTGATAAAAATTTTAAAAAATCATACTCTGAACCTGCTGAGTGTATGTGAGAAGTGTTCAAATTTTTACCAGATGTTTGAAGTATAGAATTCCAAAAGACTCTTACTTATATTAATTAGGAAGTCATTATTTTGATTTGGAGATGATAATTGATATATTATTTGAATAATCAAGATGTGGCTGTCTTAGCTATTGCTGGCTGAACTTGAGAAACTATAACTCAGGAAGTCATGGCATATGTTACAAAAAAGTAAATATTCTTGAAATAATTTAGAAATGATTAAATGGAACTTATCACTAATCAACAAGAGATTAATTTTTATATATGAGGTTTGGGCTCTTGTGTGTGCGTGTGTGTGTGTGTGTGTGTGTGTGTGTGTGTGTGTGTGTGTGTGTGTTTATGTATGCCATAGGACAATTTTCAGGAGTCGGTTTCATATTTTACCATGTAGCTCCAGGATTGAACTCAGGTCTCAAGCTACTGAACTGTGGGAGACCCGCTCCCACTTTTACCCCAGGGTACTACTTTTGAGGAGGGAGAAATGAGAAATATTTAGATAGAAATATAGAGGACAGAGTAACAGATAGAAACACAGGATAGCTCAGGAGGGCCTGGATCCTTATCCCCTGGCCCCTTCTGTTTCTTCTACAGGGCTTTTAAAGGAATGCCAAGGGGCAGGGCCTAAAAGACCTCACCTTGTTAAATCAAAGCATACCGCACATCCAAGTGCAGACCCTTCCAAACACCTGGTAATCACGCACATGGTCAAGCAATCCTCTAATGCAGTTCCTGGGTAAAGAAAGCTCAGATCTCACTAGGAAACCCTTGTAGGCCTCCACATTGTATCAAGTACCTTTACCTGCAGAGCCATCTTTCCAACCCAAGAAGTATATTTATAAAATATGAGCATGGGAGTTTCAGTAATGTGTTGTGTGAATGTAACTCAGATCACGAGGATAAACATACTATAATGCTGTATTTCCATGACTGGTGAACATATCCAAGGTGTTTATAATTGTTTTGCTAGAGAAAGGCTTGAAGTCCACAACAGCCTTTGAAGAGCATAGGTGCTGGAATTATGTTGTAGATGCATAAGTTAGACCTGGGCATAAAGCAGATATGGGGACTCTGTGTTTAAACCAGATTGTAGTATGTTTCTAACCTGAGAGCTAGCCAAGAAAATCAGATGTTTGAATCTAGAAACGTTTAAGAAGTGTTGACTAATGGTAAGTGTTAAAATAATTGAGAGAATAGAGAATGTATCAAAATCTCCAAAATAACAACTGAGTCAAAACAGCAGAGAGTTCTCAACATGAAACTTGTTCTCAGGTGTTTAAGTAGGATTTCAATGCCTTTAAAAGTTCTTGTTTTCTTTCGTAAAATAACATAAAGACAGGGGAAGGTAATTTATTGGATTCAGAAAAGAGAGTACAACAAATATTAGAAATCAGAAGAAAGAAAGTGAACAGGGAGAGAAGATTTTAATATTTCATAATAGACTGGAAAGATAAAGATACCACTTATATAGAAAAGGGTCTGTTTATGGATTTAGGTATGTTGGACTCTCTAGTATCTCTTTGATGAAGCCTAATTTTTCTGGAAGTTCCTTCTGTATTGTGGTTTTGTATTGGGATTGAAAGTCCTTTATTGAGAACTTTCGCATCTATGTTCAAAATGGAATTTGTTCTGTAATTCTGCTTCTTCATTGCATCTTTATGTGATTTAGGTATTAGAGTAAGTGTGTCCTCATAAAAATAATTGGGCAATATTCCTTCTGTTTCTATTGTGTACTAATTGGAGAAGTGTTAGTT